GTTTGGAATATTTTAAAATTCTTAAGTTAAATTATTTAAAGTTTTCTTTTATTTTCAATGAAAAATAAATGCGATCGTTAATATCGATCTTGGTACAATGTCAACCTGTAATCATATGACTACTTATAGTAGTTAGGAAAGAGAGAGTTCTAGACCCAAGGTTATTAAGCATTAATAATGCCATACATATTGTGCTAAATAATAACCTTGGTCTAGAATTCTACGTGTTCTAGACCAAGGTACCTATTATACATTAATAATGTCATACATATTGTGTTATTATGGACCTTGGCCTAGAATTCTAGGCCGAATACTAAACATAATTTTGTAAAACGACCTATCGATGATGTCATTATACATCATTTGACCCCGATGACGTCATTATACATCATTTGACCCCGATGACGTCATTATACATCATTTGACCCCGATGACGTCATTATACATCATTTGACCCCGATGACGTCATTATACATCATTTGACCCCGATGACGTCATCGGAGATGACGTCATCGATACGAAAATCTCATTTCGACAAATAGTCACGCGATCACGTGATCTAGCTCCGCCCACCTCTTGCAGCCTCTTGAGTCAATCTCGTTTTAAGCGAGTCGATTGCACTTTTCCCCTTTGCAATGGCATCTTGCTTCATCTCTTGATACTTGCGATATTCCTCGAGGACCAGTTTAAACTCTTGATCGCTAATTACGTTATCCTCCAAAGCGGTGGAAACGATGCTATCGATCGTACCCAGTTTGGTCTTGCAGATAATCTGTACGGTTTTGTGTTTTTCGCTCTTTTTCTCGAGCAACTTGCTCAGATATTTTCCGCCGTAATTTAACCCGCAACAGACGGCCGCCAACGAACCGAGTCCTATGGACAAGGGGCCCATCACGACCGTACTCGCAACGCCGATTGCACCTGCGGCGGAAACGATAGACAGGGTATTCAGACCGGTATCGATCCAGTCTACGATGCTCTGAGTCTTTTTATATTTTTTATATAGTTTTCCCCGTCCAACCTCGTCGTTTTTAATGTCGTCAAGCATCTCGCTTATCTTGCTCAATCTAAATTTTTCCGCCTCGAGCGGTACCGGTTTTACCGCCGGCGACGGGGTCGCTACGTCAGCAGCTATTACGTCCATTTTTTATTATACCACCTTTTTAATTATAGTCTCGATCGTAACGTATCCACCTCTATTATCTATAAGTTTGTTTTGTTCGTCCGTCACTTTAAAAGTAAGCCCTTGAATCATTCCCATTTGGAGGACTTTAAAAGTTAAAATTTTTCGAGTAGAGGGCTCAACATCTCCGAATCGCTTATCTTGAGCGGTAATAGCATCGAGAATAAAGGATGCGCGACCATCTAAAAGAGTGTATTTGCTCGATAGTTCTTGGAGGTGAATGTGCATCCTATACGGGGTGTTACGGCAATACGACGTACCCCAGTAAACTCCTCCCCCTTTGAAATGAGTAATACTCAGATTGAAGAATGCAGCCAGCTCCGAACTGAAATATATTAAAATTTTTTCGGTGGT